ATACATATATATTATAATAAAAGTACAAAAAATGTATTGTTTAATCCAATTAAAATGTAAAGAAGAAAACTTGTTATAAATGAATTTATCAATAAGATATAAAACTTAAAAATTGTATAGACGATAAAATATTGAAATACAGACAAAATGAAATAGCTCACAAGCTCATCTTATTGAAAAGAATTCTTTTGAAGATGTTTGTTATCATCAAAAGTAAAACTGAATAAACTGCGTATATTCGATTAAAAATCAAATTAATATGCTAATATTTAGTCTAACTCTCGATATGCATATAATGGAATCACGTTTCTCGCAAAAATCTTCTCTATCCTCTGTATAAAAGGGAAGAAGCGAGCGCTTTATCTTGAATTCTCGCAATGAGATGTATTTGACGATCGGCGGGTTCGTAGTGACTCGAAAACTTTTTGTTCGATTCAATCACAAGCCGTAAATAATATTCGTATATAGTAATGCCAATATGTATAGATATACATATATATATATATATGTATATCTATATGTATATATTATATTGACACATACCCGAAAGCATGTGCTTCTTTTATGCAGGTAAAGTAAAGAGCGCACGCGTTGGACATACCTTCATTTTCAAATTCAAAGCACGCCAGCTTTGAGCGCAAACGCAATTTGTAGAATTATCCGTATATCGCAGGTTGGACTATTCACAGGAGTCTCGCATCTACGGGCGGCCACACGCATAGGTAAGATCATAATCGTTGATAGAGACGTTTTCTTCGATTATCGCACGTTGATTCTCGCCATCGGACGTAGATATTCGGTAAAAACCTGCTAAACGCACGTGCCACACGCTAACATAATAAACAACGATCTTTGCGTATCTGATCTAACTGATTAAAACATCTCTAGCTGAGTTGACTGTTATGTTCCATTTCTTTATAATCTAATTTATCGGATATATATATACACTATATACATTTTGCATAGCCTTAAGAACTGTCATATGTTTCAAAGAAATATTATTGAAAGAAATTGTTTTTCGTAGACATGAACTTTTTTCAAGATTTTCTAGTCACTATTTCCACATTTCACAATCTTTAAAATATCTTTATGACATACTCCTAATGAAATGGTGAAGACAATAAATTAGATCTATTAAAGATATTTTATCTATAAACTATACAACGTAATAGTAAAAATAGTATAATTAATTTATTACGTTTCTATACTATTGTAAAATAATATCAAATATATTTTCATTAACTTTAAGTATACTTAATCGTTGATTTTAATGCGCATTTATTACTTAAAATAAATATCTTTCCCATTGACAAGAAAATAAGGATTTATTGAACGACTAAATATAATCATTTTTAATAATTATTCTTTGCCAAGAAATTACATGCGACATTATAAATGTTCAAAACATAAATCACTTAATTTTTCTTTTTTTTGTAACTTTCCAAAATCTTAGTATGTTTATGAAATAACAAGTTAAATAAAAGAATTTTTCTTGGAGACATACATGTTGTTTTCTTTTTAAATCTTAGAGTCAAGAAAAGAACAAAATCATGATATTTAAATCAATCAAATTAATCACGTTTCAACGTGATATAATTCTTTTTTGCATTTCTATACTTATCTTATAAAGGTACATAAATAACTTCTGAAAGCACATTTTCTTGCTTTATTAATGAACATTCAAAACATTATTTAAGTTCTTATTTGTAAAAAAAAGATTATACAGCAATGATTCTATAGTCTAAGTCAATTTTTATGTATAGAACTAATACTATAAAATATAATCAAATCATCTAAATCTACAGCGTGATTATTTATCTTACTTTAGATAAAGACACAGGATATTGTGAATATTTGTTTTAATAATAATAATAATAATAATAATAATAATTTTGAGCCATATTTAAGAGCAAACAAAAAAAAGAATGAAAAAGTAAACTGAATATATATAAGGAACATAAAATCTTAGTTTAAAAATTATTTTCATCTATGCATGTTAATGATTTTACTCAAAATGAAAAAAAGAAAAAGAATATTGAAATTATTTTGTTGTTATATTATAACAAATATAGCTTATATATTATATGTATTATATATGTATAATGTGTGTATATCTATATTATGTTGCATGTTGCTGTTTCTAGTACTTTTTCTTTTCGTTTCCACTGATGAGAGATTACCATTAAGTATTATCTTTCTTCCTTTTTCTGTTTTGCTTTATATTGAATAATTTACATCACTCATGGTATTTCTCATTCTTACCACACCTTAAGAATTACACGTTAAACTTTAGGTCTATCATAAGTTACATATAGTATCATCGTAATTGTATGGATTCTGTGTTGGACATAGGGCAGTTCCTAGGTATTCGAGTCCGTGCGAGTGGCCACCACTAAAAAGGCATTATTTAAAGCTGCCTTTTGCATGCGCTAGTATATGCATTAATATGTTTTTAGTACCTCGGTGGCATCGCATCTGCCGGACCTGGGAAGCTAAAAGGTCAGAAAAATGAAAAATCGCACAATTAATTTTTTCTTATGGCATTAACGTCGCAAGGAACTGATGAAAGTATAAGATGCAACACTATTACTCACGAATAACTAAATAATAGTAATAATAATCGCGTATACGGAAATCTTATCGTTCGTAATGTTGTGTCCTGAGATATAATATATACTTATATATATATTTATATATATAAATACATATATATGCACACACTTCTCCATGTTATTTTTTTCTTTTAACATCATAACGCATGAAATAATAATATCACATGATTGAACGCTGAAGAAGACTATGTTCGAGTCTCAACGAAAATCTTAATAACAAAACACGGTATAGATCATTGTTGGCTCATCTTTAATATCGCATAGATCTTTCTCTCGCTCTTTTTCTTTGTCTATAAGCCATATATGATAATTGCAAATTGTCATAATTTTTGTCCTATTTTTCATCAAATGCATCCTCAAATATGGCTTAATACAAACGCAAATGGATCACTACAAAACGCAATAATAAACGCATATTTTTCTTTTGCACCAAAAACTAGGATTTCTTCGATTCATTATCATTTTGTTCTGTAATTACGTGAAACGCTTTCACGTATTATTATAATTGGTGCTACTTCGACGAGCAAAGAGGAAAATCAAATAAAACAAAAAGTTCAATAGATACGCAACAATTCTCTTTAGTAACGCTTCTTCTTCTCCTCTTTTTTTTTCATACGTAAAAAGGCGCTATACATTTATTAACGAGTTACGGTTCTGAAATATATATGTCATCGCCCGATTTATTATTCGCAAATAATATCTTTCTTTTCCTCCATTTTTTTGTTTTCTTTTAAAAGAACGCTCGATTTAGATTTCTCTCGCGAATCGCGTAAAAGAAGAGAGGTAATATAGATTGAAAATGATCAATAAAGTCAATTAAATATTCCATATTTTGTGCAAAATTATTTAATCTTTGACGATTTTTATCGAACAATTTACAAATAATTTGTATTGTTTATTATAAAAAATTTTCAAAATTAAATCTAAATTATTAAATATTTTTATATAAGTATAGATCGGATCATACAGATCATGTTTTTGAGAGATATTTGTTAAATAATAGAAACATTTTGGCAGGCACACTACCTCTGTTCTTTTTTACACACTCAGGAGCTAAAACATCGTGTAACGATATTTATTATCCACCGTTTATTAATGAATAAAGGATATTTTTTTTTTGCAAACGATGGCACGCCACACACACACACACACACATATATATATAGACATATATGTGATCGAAATGAATTATCGCGGTAAGTGTCACACCTTATACTTTTACAGAAATATTTAACCTGTGACTGTAATCTAAAAAAAATTGTGTTTCTTACGAGAAAATGAAATAAAATTAAGTAATTAAAGCATGTAACGCAGAAAGGAACGAGGACGTTTTAGATCAACGATCAGTCGTTCGCATATATTCCTTTCGCTTCTTTTTTTTTCGATCTTATTGCGTATCGTACAATTATTTCTCTACTCGCCGTGTCATAAGAAAATATATTATTTATAAATAATATAAATCAAACTTACCGGCCGCCGCCACGTGGAGGAGGTCCGTATGCATCAGGTCTGTCGTATCCTTCGGTATAGCTATATTAATAAACAAGTATATTTATTTTTTGTTTTGAAATTATATTACATAAGATCAATGCTTATCAAAGAGACATCAATAACGAAAAGAAAAAAGTCATTAACACATACAAAATCTTATTAATGAAGAATAAAAAATATAAATGATTATCTTACCCTCCACCAACAGGTGGGTATCCACCACTGGGAACGGCACTACCAGGTCTTCTACTAAACATATCCGCTTGTGGTCCAGGACCAGTATTATAACTGGGAGCACCGGTACTATAGCTGGAACCAGTACTCATTGGCCTAATAAAAAAGAATGTAAACAGTGAATAGAAGTTTACTATTAAAAGCATTAAATTAATATTTTCTTTTTGCTTGCTAGAAGTATCACGCGTCATCAGGTATATTAATGACTGGTTTACTTCTTTTTTATGTTTTGCGATAATCTGTTATAACATTCCTCATTATGGCATGAACATTTTGTGAGCCATTGTTAAAACATTCAAAGGTGAAGAAAATTGCCGCGTTATTTCCAATATGTGTCTACTTAGTCATTTCATTTTATTTATTTGTTTCTTTTCTTTACCATGTTTAATCAAAAGTGTGTAAGAATATTTCATTGCAACTTAACAATGAAATTACATACCTCAAAACCAGCAACACGTACAATTTATACGTCAATAATTTGTTGAATATATGGCGATTCTTGCAAAACCCTTCTGTTTTTGCTTAGATTATATCATATAAAGAATAACAGACATCGTCATAATATAAGATTTGTAATAGATATTCCAAAAGTACCTGTGATGTAACTTTTCCAAATTTTCTACTAGATAACAATTAATTTCACGAAGCTAGACAACATTTGCTTAGAAAAATGGACAAGTAAAGTTTAACATGATTCAATTTCTACATGCACTCGCACTTACTCTTTTAATTTTTCTTTTTTTCTTTTTTTTAAGCCCGTGCATGGTCTTAAGCAGATTAGTAAATGTGCAAATTTATTTTTGAGATAATAATTAAACTATAATATTGTTAGATGCATTTGAAAAAGTTCCAATGAAATGGATCATTTTAATGTTCTTACACTTAATGGCTCAAAAAGATATTCGCGATGATCATCGATAGAAGATCAGTAATTGCATGCAACAATGACACTAGACTTAAAAGCTATAAGAAAAAGATTGAGAAGATTCTTTTTCTTAAAACAATCGAATATTTCCTGTTTTTTTCTTTTCAAATAAGAACATAAAGAAAAATGTTTTTATAGTATAATAATTTTACCAATGACTCTCATCATATCCAACATCAGTGTATCCAGTACCATATCCTGTTGTGGCAACAGCAGCACCGCCATTTCTCATTGGTCCGGTCGCAGAACGATCATAATCATTTCTTGCAGTATAATCAACTGTGCGACTTGCCCCAAAATTATCTGTACGACCATAATCAACTGGACCTGGTGCTCCACGGTTAAAATCTCCTGCCATACCAGCTCCAACTACTGGAAATAATATAAATATATGTGTACTCTGAAACTGTAACAACCTAATATTATTATTCGAAAAACACTGCTTTATCCCATATTGCCAATATATTAATTAGAAAAATTCTAAAGTTAATCCAACGTCAAATTATAATATTACCATAATCTGTTCTCGCTCCAAAATCAGCAGCACGGGTATAATCAGCAGTCCTGCCATAATCAGCTGTTCCTGTTGGGCCATATCCTCCTACAGCAGCAGCAGGTCCATAGCCTCCACCCATCCCTGGCGCCGTCGAAGTGTATCCCATCGCAGCAGTTCCCACGTTCTGGCCATAAGCTCCACGGTCGGTATACCCAGTGCCAAAGTCAGTCCCTCGTCCACTAAAGTCCCCAGCACCACGATTGTAATCGGTATAGCCAGCTGCGACGCCACCTGCAGCAGATCCATCGTAACCAACGAGTTGGATCGGAAGAACTGTAAAGCACGTCGAATATTCCAGTTGGTTTTTAATTTGAAATGAATATGGATTTAAAATCAACGTGCTATATTCTCATTGTTTTTTTTTGTTAAGGAAATTAATAAGACAATAATAAAAGATCTAATGAGATTAGAATATGTTATTTGTCTTAACCTATTATAAATAAAAAGATGCAGAGTTAATTGTAAGATGAATGAGAAGATAGCATCATCGATAAATGTTATATCTTATTAAAAATAAGAATACACAGTTACCTCTTCTATCATTGTATGGTCCAGGACGAGCGTCTCTACCACCGTCTCGTCCTCCTCTACCACCTCTCATAGGTCCGCCTCTTCTGTCTCCATCCCTGCGTCCTCCACCGCCTCCGCGTGACTTCCCAGTTGACTGCTCTACGTTGATGGTTGCCCCCTTGAAATTAGAATTATGGAGTGCCTTGATGGCTGCAGCTGCATCTTCCTCTCGTGCCATGTGTACGAAGCCATATCGATTCATAACATCGCATTCCGTCACCTCGCCAAACCGTGAAAATAATTGTCGCAACTCATCGTTGCGACAATTTTCTGGTAACCTCCCCACAAATATTTTTGTTTTTCTCTGAAAAAATGCAAAATATCATAAATAAAGTATCTTATTCTCTCTCTGATATTTAAAAATACTCTATGATTAAATACATATATGAAACTAAAATAATCATGCTGTACAATAAACGAAGATATGAGACAACTATTTTTGTATACACGCGTATGTATCTCTAAATTCGATCATACTTCTGTAATAGCAAGCATGGTGTCTGTTAGAGAATTTACTTTAGCTCAGTTTTTTGTATTACAAGCTTACATTATATATATGTTATATATAATGCAAATTATACTGAGCTAACAGAAGCATCATTGATCAAGTGTATTATGACTTATATAATATTTGAAGAATCTAATACAAAATTTGCATATTTAGATTAAACAAATGCATACTCAAATTTGCTGCGTCAGATCATAGACCGCTTCGACTTACCCATCTGTATTAATGATGCTCAATAATCATTTTATTAGAGAACAGTGGATTTATGTATAGTTTCCTTAAATGTATTTCCTGTAGTTTCTGGGAAGTGTGTAATTATAGAAAAATATGCATAGCTTTTTATAAAATAGCATATTAAGAACAATTGGTAAACAAAAATAATTGATGCTTATTAAATAAAATATAATATCCTAAGTAACAAATGCGCTTACCGGTTGATTAGAAGACACCATTTTCTGCAAAAAGAAAATAATTATTTTTCAGTATAAAATATATCAAATAGTAATATACCAAAATTATATGTAATTCACATGGTATAATATTACAATGGGCTTTGCTAGTAACAAGTAAGGTATATAATATAATAGATAAATGTTTCTTAAGACAAAAGTTTTATATTTCACTTATCTATTTTCTTTTAATCTTGAATATTTTAAAAATACACATTAATTATGAAAAAATTGGTGCTTTCATTTCTTAAATACATATTAAACGTGTTATTCATAGAATAACATATGTATATACTTGATTTACCTTACATTTCATATATTAAGGAAATCTACATTGTCGAGAAATCAGAAAGCTTGGCCAAAAAAATGGTAGTATTGTGATCACGTAATTTTGTGTGATGGTCGAAAGACGCGAAAACTATAGTCACATAAATTTTAAAGAGAATCCAATTTTGCTGCTAATTTTTAACCAAAATAAACACTAATATATTTTCGTATAATAATATATCAAAATATGTTTAAGGTATTAATAAAGAACATATGTAAAATAATTAAAGCATACGCCTTAAAAAGCTTATGCTTATGTATCCGGTCTTTGCATACTATATGAAATCACTTATCTACTTAACATTACTATCAAAATATTACAATACCGCTCTTTTCTCAGCAATCTAATTATGCTAATTATTGTCAATAAAGAAAAATTGGTCATACTCACATGTAATTGCGACGTTTTGGCGAAATTAAATTAAAATAAAAAGGATGAAACTTTCGTGACGCTCAACAGCGAAACGAGGCACAAAATGGCGTCTGACGATTACAACAGTTATTACCGTACGAATCTTCGGTTAAACCGTCGGGCTTATATGCTATGATCTACTTTTTGTAGTATTAAGATTCGATTCCGGTATAAGAAAAGAAAATCGAACACCAGATGGCAGCACACATTAGCATAACCAAAAGCTTTGATATGATTGGTCGATCGTGAAAAATCACATTTATTTCAATTTTAAAAGAGAAGAATGCAACGCAGGTGGTGGTGATAGAAATTTATGATATTTATGGTGAAATGTGTGACTCGCAATATATTTTATAATATCTTGTAAATTTCTAAAGTTATTTTTATTATTTCCTAATTCACCTATATTTGATTACAAAATTTTGAGATCAAAAATTACAGTCGTATAAATCCAGCTAAAAATATAAAAGGAAAGAATGATGACCAACTTAAAAATCAATGATCTTATTGTCTTCTTTTTAATAAGACTAAATGCAGATTTAGATAAAAAGATGTAGTTTGAGATAAGATCAATGTCATTGTCAGAAAGTAGGTTCTGGTCCAATGCCTCCAGCTTGTTTATGAACAAGTAAAGATACTTCTGTGGCCAATTTGCTGACATCAGATAGATTTTCACATTCTGCATACACGCGTACTATATCTTCAGTACCGGAAGGTCTAATAATATATTATTCATATTATTTTAAATAAAAATACTAGAATAAAAATATTTATTTGTGAATGTACAAAATACCTGATAAAGCTTCTTCCTTTCGAATACTTGGCTGTAACTTTATCAATTTCATTTTGTAATCCTATCGGGGTAACACATTGTCTTTCTGCATTAGCCGTTGTAATAATATTTCTGTCCTTAACTTTGACTTTTACTTGTTTGTTTGGTAAATCTGTATAACATTGTTCCCAATCAATAATGCTCCATCCTTTAGCATGTAAAATAGTTTCTATTAACAACATATCACTTAAGGCATCACCAACGGTCTGATTAATTATATTTATTATATGTACTAATTTTCCAGCAGCAGTACGTTCATTTTTTTCCAACCTATAGCCATAATAAAATATCAGCAAGATTGTATGCGTATAAATTTATCACTTGAATAAATCTAATCTTACGTAAGATTTTCGGCAGCATTTGAAATAGATTGGATAGCCGTTTCCTTAAAAACAACAGTCCCATGACCATTTGCTTCAAAATAAACACCAATATCAAATTCTGTTGCTTTACTGTGCAAATGTTTTACACCTGTTGAAACGCATGCAACTGGAACTTTCTAAATACAATTTAAGAATTAAATATTTCATTTAAAGATTATTTTAACAATAAAAAGATGAATAAATATATACCAATTTCTGCGAAATATAAATAGTTGAACTTGCATTAGCATATGCAGTTTGAACTAGGCCAAGATTTAATTGCAAAGAACTTTCTTGAAGAAGTTCTTTGATGTAGCCTGCTACAAGTGTAGCTATACGATCTCCATCGAGAATATGAAATTTTTTTGTTTCATCTATATAGAAATAAACTATTCTGTCCGCATCTCCATCTATAGAAGCACATTTAACATTTGCTTCAAGTTGCATATTTAATGGTACTTTTTGATGTATTTTAACATAGTCAGCTCCACACTAATAAGAAGAAAAATAATGCACATTCTCTTATTTTAAATTAATTGGTAATAATATAATTTGCCAACAAATTATATATACCATGTAATTTAGTTCTCCATTTCCATCATTATAAATATTGACTTTGAGAACAGAATCTAGATGTTTTTGAAATTCTTTCATAGCAAGTGCACCAACACCATTTGCCGCATCCAAATGTAATTCTGCTATATATTTGTCATTAATAAGTACATTTTTATATTCTCTCATACGTTTGTAAGCCTTGGAAAATTTATTATAATAGGCTTCTAATGTCGATTCTCCATAATTATTATTTGTATTTGTACAAAAAACAAGATAATGTAATTGAGGTGTGGTAACTATTCCAAAATCTTTTACGACACCATTCAAGGCTTTAATACCTGCCACTGCAGCACCTAATAAATTAGAACCACTTTGTCTTGTATCTCTGCCTGTTATTACTATTGCATTTGCAGACATATTAATTTTTTCTTCACTTATAATATGTTGAATAATAGTTACAAGATCGGTGTCATTTGCATTAGCTAAATTATTAGCTATTATTTCCCAAGATGCTTTTAACATCTCCCCATTAGGATCAACCAATTTAACACCATTATCTGATTCTACATTGTGACTAGCCGTTATCATCAATCCAATTGCAGCTATAATATAAGAGACCTTTTATTTTATATCCAATTTAAGGCTCTGATAAGACTTTAATGACTTCATTTAAAATAATGATATGACAATAGTAAAAAACGAATGAAATCTTACCATTACATTTCTTTGATCTAAGTACGGCTAAAAGGCCCATTCGATAAAGTACATGTTCCAAGAACTCTGCTCTGAAATGATATTAGTAAAATAATAATGTAATATACATCTCAAATTTAAATAATGTACAAAATATACTTACTTAGTTCGGAAGCCAGAAGTTCCATATTGTATAGGTTCATTATGTTGTTTACTATATGTTGAATTTTCTACATTATTTATATATTGAAAGTCCATTATGCTTTAATATATACGAAATACTAAAAAAATATTTCTTTGTTAATACGTATACATATTTCTTTAATAAAAATTAGTTTCAATAGATCAATTAGAGATAAGATAAAATACATACGTATATCTATATATAAACGTAATATAAAAACAGATTACAACTATTTAAATTTTATAACACACCTGTATACAACAGCGACTCTTGAAAAAGTGACATTTATCGAAGCTTCGTATTTGCCACGTACCGATTAACTCAAAACGCCATCTGCAATTGTGAATGCTATATTTACGCGCGTACACACATTGTTTATACCTATGTAATTTATAAATAACTATTTAATTAATTATTCAATTAATTCAAACATATGTTAATATTTAATTAAATAATAATCTAATTATATATTATTATATATTATATATATAATATATTAATATATAATA